CCAAATTAACATAAAATTTATGGCAAATGCAGCTGAGAAAATGGGTTTACCATACACTGCACCATTCTACAGGCAGAATGGATCCATCGAGGGTTTGCTAAGCGGTGTGAATTATGGGGCAGCAGAAGCAACAATCATGAGCCCCAATAGCCTGAGCCACCAGTGTCTTAACGACCAGCTAAGGCAAGTATTTGAGACACTTCAGCTGTTTGAGTTACAACTCGGCCGGGAAAGCGCTTACCATTTCATCAGATCCTCCATATTCTACATTTCCTTCGGTAAAGATGACTACATAGGTCTCTTCCTCCGCAACTTTTCCGGTGTAATGGCCAAAAACAGTGGCCACGAATTTGCTCAAATTTTGGTTAACCAGATGGTGAATGCCATGAGGAACCTTTATGATCTGAATGTGAGGAGGGTTATATACATGGGAATATTACCTTTGGGATGCACCCCAAGTTTACTGTTGGAGTGGCACGTTCACACAGCTGGAGGTAACAATAATGATGGAACAGGTTGTGTTGAGGAGATAAATGAACGGGTTTTGCAATACAATATAATGCTAGAAGAGGAGATAATTAGGCTCAATGAAGAGTTGCCTGATGCACAGATAGTCTTCTGTGATCTATACCAAGGAGTCAAGAAGATCATAACCCACCCACAATTCTATGGTATGAATCCTTCTCTGAATTAGCCTGAATAACATCACCCAAAGACGCAATGCTGATGGTTATTTGGCATTTAGGGGGCCTGAAAAGAAAATGTTCTTGCATTAACATGAACATAACTCTAATTTACTCTTTATAACGTGTTTCAATGTGACAAATACAGGATTTGAGGATGCAAGGAGTGCTTGCTGCGGGCTTGGTTTGTATGGTGCGGAGATAGGATGCCTCTCAGCAGACATGGCCTGCAATACTGTTTCATCTCATGTCTGGTGGGATTTCTATAGCTCAACACCAGAAGTTAACTCCTTGCTTGCTGATTCAGCATGGTCAGGTGAAGCCCTCCTGTCTAACATTTGTCGCCCTACTACCGTCCAGGATCTGGTTTACACTCCAACATAGCATCTTCCCTGACCCCCAATGATTTCACAATGTATTCTTTGGTTTAGAGGTCTCCTAGAGTAGTGAAACATATCTTCACAAGCTATTACGGATTGAAATTTCCTTGTTAGGTAACCCCTTTGTCCTTTACGCATTCGGACAGTTTCTCCAATTTTGTGTCCCGTAAAAGCTAGCTGAGAATTGGTGTAATGGTCCGGTAACTGTTCTGAGAAACTGCAGTCCAGTCATAATGCAATGTTCATCTGCTATATAAATTTTTTTGTTTTCTGAATTTGCTATTAATTCTATACACACAATGAAGCAATAAAGGAAATAAGAAGGAAAACCACTGCAATAGAGGATCAAAAGAAAAAGAAAATAAAACAGAGAGCCTGTTTTTGTTATCTGTGGCATTGTCCCCACCGCCAGAGAAAAAAGAATCTTTCATAGAAAAATGAAATGAATGATGTCATTGTTAAGCGTGAAACTTTTTAAAAGCAACAACAGTTACCCAATAATCTAATAGAAAACTACGCTGACCCACAACTGAATTACTCACTAAAAGGTAGAAGTTAAAACCCAAGCCAAAGCCTTTTACTTTCTCCTCCTTTGTTCCAGCGTTTTGGTTCAGAAGACAAAAATGGCGACTTCTCAAACCCAAAACCCTCTCAAAACCCCCTTTTCTCAACTGTCAATCAAAGAACATAAGCCCTGGTTCTATAAACCCCGTCATTTAACAATCACCGCTGCCCATCCCCACCTCTCCGGCCGCAAGCTCCGAGCCGCCGTTATAGGCGGAGGCCCAGCCGGGTCCTCCGCCGCGGAAACCCTAGCTTCAGGCGGGATCGAGACCTTCCTCTTTGAACGCAGCCCTTCAACCGCCAAACCCTGCGGCGGTGCCATTCCTCTTTGCATGATCGACGAATTCTCCATCCCTCTACACCTCATCGACCGCCACGTCACCAAGATGAAAATAATCTCCCCTTCGAATATCGCCGTCGATTTCGGATCCAAATCTCTCCGTTCCCACGAATCCATCCCCATGCTCCGCCGGGAAGTCCTTGACTCCTTCCTTCGGGCCCGGGCACAATCTGCCGGAGCCCAATTAATACCTTCCCTCGTCACCAGTCTCGAACTCCCATCTTCCCCCTTTTCTCCTTACATTATCAACCACACGACCAACAACTCTCGTAAAACCCTAGCCGTTGATCTAATTATCGGCGCCGACGGAGCCAATAGCAAAGTGGCTAAATTTATTAAAGCAGGGAACTACACGTGCGCAATAGCGTTTCAAGAGAGAATCAGATTACCGGACGAGAAAATGGAGTATTACCAAAATCTCGCGGAAATGTACGTGGGAGACGACGTGTCACCCGATTTTTACGCGTGGGTTTTTCCTAAATGTGACCACGTGGCAGTGGGGACGGGTACGGTGTGTGCGAAGCAGGATATCAAGTTATACCAGAGAGGGATCAAGGAAAGGGTGAGAAATAAGATCTACGGTGGAAAAGTGATCAAAGTGGAGGCCCACCCAATCCCCGAACATCCCCGGCCAGTGCGTGTAAGAGGACGCGTGGCACTGGTAGGGGACGCAGCGGGGTATGTCACCAAGTGTTCGGGTGAAGGGATATATTTTGCGGCAAAATCAGGGAGGATGTGCGGGGAGGCAATAGTAAGTGCATCGGACGGCGGGGAGAGGATGATAGGGGAAGATGATCTGAAAAGGGGGTATTTGAAGGAATGGGATCAAAAGTATGTGAGTACATATAGATTTTTGGATTTGTTGCAAAGGGTGTTTTATGGGAGCAATGTTACAAGGGAGGCTTTGGTGGAAATTTGTGGGAATGAGTATGTTCAAAGGATGACTTTTGACAGCTACTTGTATAAGAAGTTGGCCAAGGGAGATGGATGGGAGGATTTGAAGATGGTTTTGGGTACCATTGGGAGCTTGATGAGGTGCAAGATTGTTGGGAGAGAGATGGAAGCCATCAAGTTTTAGGATTTTTTTTTTATGCCAATGCAAAGGGTATCAGATTGTGTACTTGTAGTCTAATTTTAAGAGTATTTTCTTTTCCTCTCTAAGTTGGACAAAAAAAGAGTAGCTACATTTGTTATGAGGAGTTTTTGGTTTCATTTTGTTGTAAAATTATTGGGAGTAGTGAAATTTTAATGTTCTTTATCGTTGCAAAGACTAAACCCAAACTCATCAAATAGGAAAACCAGGGTCATTCATTTCATTTTGATGAAAATGGCGACTTTCCTGTTCCACAAGGACTGGCAAGAAAGATGCAGGACAGAGTAGTCAAATTAATTATGGAACTTTGATCAATGTGTTTTGGGAGGAGCAAAATTTGCTAGGAAAAATATGTGATGAGTACAGCATAAATTACCAAATCCTCTCCATCCTGATTATTGTAGGACTGACTGACTGCTCTGGCTAAAATAACTCATGGCGTAAAGAGCTTGAGTTTCTTCCAGGGCTCACTTAAAAATTTGTAGGGAATCGATAAAGGGATATAAGTGACAGCAGCACCATTAGAGTGGAGATTAAAACTGGAATTGCATTTCAGAAGAGTACCCGAGAGCTTCTAGATGAGAAGCCATGGCCTTGTTCATGGGAGGCGGTCCACATCTCAAAATCTGTAGCAGTTAGAAAATCAATCACAGCGTTAAACATTACATAAATGCATGTACACACAGACAGTGAGGATGATTATAAGATTACCTGAATATCTTGACCAGGAGCAGGGCAGTGGGCTTGAATCATTTCCTTGGATACGAATCCAACACCAGCATCCCATCCTTCAGGAGGCTGAACACGATATTTTAACATAGAAGTAATGAGTTACAAGTAAAAGACCTCATACAACCAGAGATTTATAGATTCTTTACACCATGAGCAACTACAGCAGATATCGCATGTTAAGCAAATTAAAGCTGATCAATAGCTGTTGCACAATCTATTTAAGTCAATCAACCTATTTCTAAGATCTTAAGAAAGATGACAACTTTATTAATTTTTAGAGAATCATACCCTTTGAAGCAGTGGTGATAAAGATATGTTCTGAGCGACTTTCTAATAGTATGGCATTTGTTGAAAGCCACACTACTGCAGCTTTGATCAGACAAGTTTGAAGGAAAACAATTCATGTTCCTGACCTCAACCAGCAAGTTTGTTTTGAGTCTTTACCCCATTTACTTTAGCTATGGATGACATCCTAGGAATATCCAGGATGAAAACTCTTGTTTTAGTTTTAACAGAAGAGACTGAGGCAGGGGTTTGTCAATGCTAGAAATAGAAATTGAAGTTTGCAATATATAGGTCTTAGATTGAAAGTAGGATCAAAACTGAATATATAGCGTGTATGTCTGCTAAAGATGGAGCTAGAGATGATGATAGAGTTATAACATGAAAGCAACAAGTTCCTAAGAGTGACCGTTTTTCATCTTCAGATCTGATGATTCTCAGGGAAAGAGAACTTGAGAGGATCCTAGGCGTAAGAAACAATATAAGACTGTTTATGCTTGATTACATTGAATGTTGAGCCATTATAAGATAACAGTTCACATATCAAGTGTAGCTGAAATGAAGATGCCAAAAAGGAATGGGCAGTGTACAAGGAAAGTTGAGAAATCAAACTATTCAGAAGAACATAGAGTGCAGAGATGAATACAGCTCTAGTCTTAACAAAGCAGGATCAGATTCATGCAACCAACCAACCTAATTGTATACTAAGACACTGAGTTGATTGCACTCGAGCATTTGGTTCAGTAATTGGTGCATAATTCCCCTCTAAAAAATGTGTGTGTGTGTGTATACATATTTTAAATAATATTTATACTAATGGGTCAGTTATTTTATCAATTTGGTTGGCATTTTTCCAACCCGGATAACCGACCAATTAAACCGATATAGCCGACTTTTCCAACTGAACCAAAATGACCGAATTAGGTCAGTTTAGATTGGTTTATTCAATTTTGACCAACTATTGCTCTCCCCTAAAATCCCGTACTTAGGTGCAACATTTCCAACAAAAATCCAACACAAAAAATTAGTGATGAGTTAAACATCATTTAAAAACAATCTTGTTTTCAGTTCAAGTTGTCATTCAATCTTTACAAACACAAGGATCTCAAGGTCATACGTGGACTATTCAATTCCATGTATGAGTGTAACCTCACTTATGTTCAGAAATCAATGGCATGTAATTCTTAATGGATATGCTCCAAAATTCTGTAAAGATTATTTTATCACAATTACTTCATTTGATGGTCCTAAATTTATTGTATCTGGATCAAAATTATTCACAATTAGTGTGAAAGCATTCTTGGACTTTACAATATCAGATTTAACTGCTTTGTAGCCCATACAAACTACTACGAGACTTCAAAATCATTTAGAAAATCTGGCATAGGATAAGTACAAACAGAGGAAAACATCTCAACAAGAATAGAGAAAGAAATTAAATGGAAAAAAGAAGAAGAAAACAACAGAAAAGAGAACCACGTTTGACATATATACCTGATTCAGAACATAGTACACACTCATGCGGTTAGGAAATTTACTCGCAAGCTCATCCAACTCTTCCTGAAAATTAAAAAAGGACTGGAATTAGATTGCTCCTACAATAAAAGTAGTTCAGCCTGGACATCCTGTTAATTGCCCCAAGGTCTGATCATTTTCAGAATGTTAAATTGCACAGTTCAAACATTTGATTAATCAAAAGAGAAGATTGTTTATCTGTTTATTTAATATGTGTAGGTGGGGAGAGAGAAAGAGAACCCACCTTTAACAGAATGTCCTCATAAGTGACATTGGCATAAATAAGATGAATGTTAGTCTTGTCATTTGGGTTTTCTAAAATGGCTCTAGCAACCTGAAGAACAAGTGAGAAACTTAAAAAATTATTAAACTAAGAATTAAAAAGAAAGTCTTATGCAAGATGGAAAGTAAGAAAGTCATAGACAAAAGTGTCCAGCTCCTTGATGTAAAACAACTTACCTGGAACATTGGAGTGATGCCAGTTCCCCCAGCAAGCATACCAAATGTTCTAACTTGTCCAGGTTGATACCTGAAGCGCCCCTGAAAGCATCATATAGGTATTATCAATTATGAGCCATTCTTTGAATGTAGATGAACCAAAGGAAATGTTCAGTTGACATCTCTCCTAGGAGACACATACATACAACACATGAGGACATGTTTCAAAAACTGCATTAAAGTTCACCTTGATTCACCCATCAAAATTACTGAACAATGAATAAATTGTGTACTTTTGTCCAGAACTTATGCATTGCTACAATTTCATGAGTTAATCATACTTTAAAAACTCTTACATGATCTAACACCCAAAAAAAAAAAAAAAGAAATCATTAGGTCAAACCTTACCAGTTCAACCAACAGGCCAACCATAGAAAAGGTGACATACTGGTGACTGATAGTTAAGGTATTTGCTTAAAGCCATATTCCTAAACGCTTCTAAGTACCAAGATTTCATTCTGAGTAAACTAACCTTTCAAACACTTCTAAGGAACTAAAAAGAGAAAAATAAATAGGTAGATAGATGTGGTTCTTGTTTTTGTAACCAGGTTATAGCAAAATTGAAATGTAAGTGGTCCTGAAACATGGTGCTGAGAGAGTGCAGGGATAGAGAAAAGGGGTGCTGAGACTATTGCTTCTGTTGTTGTAAAGGGTACCGACTTCTAGAACCAACTTATATAAGAAAGTTATCTGGACAGATAATCACATTACCAGTAGGAAATTTAAGGTGATTGCATTTGTGGATTTGGTTGCTAACTAGAGGAATGGAAATTAGGGGATATTAACAATAAAGTTTTCATTCACACCTATACAATAGTCAATAAATATAAGGTTTCTCATAATCAAATATCACTTTTTCTCTCACTCTAAGATAAAACAACTTTCTGAGTTTGTAGAGTACTCATGGAAAAGCTTGTAGTTGCATAAAGATATTCTACTGTTGGTTATGCATACATGGAAGCAGAGGGGTTATTGGTTCCCCCTCTGGTGGAGCAAGTAGTATTAGTAGTTCATACAATCATGCAAAAAGGTAGGAACCAGAAAGATAGTTGTTTTATAGACTTGATTAAGCTGGCATTTCCCCATATACATATTTCGGAAGTTCTATATCTGAGCCTCCTAAAAGATATGCTATGAACAATTACCATGTTTCCTATTAAATGGATTTCTTTCGTAATCAAAGATGATTCTTCAAGGTAACATCTGAAACTATGAAATTTGAAAATCATCATTTCACAGGTTAGAATTACATACTACCAACTTGTTTTTGACATTAGTCTCTTAAATAATGAAGCTACAACTGGGTTTTTGAAACCAGCAAGGAAAAAAGAAGACAGGAATTGTAACATCATGTAATAGATCATCAAAGAAACTTACCTTGGGTCCCTTCACAGCCAAGTAATCACCTTCACGCATCTCCCGAAAGTGGTGGGACATCCTTCCTTGGGGATACATCTATGGAGAACGAAAACTAAATTATGTACTGATGTAAGCAAGAAAAGAAAAGAATTACTAGATGATATAAACAAAAGCATCAATGGCATGCTGCATGTAAACCTTTATGACTAGTTCAAAATACCCTAAATCTGAATCCAAAGTTGTTGGAGTATATGCCTTGACAACATCATCACCATGCTGATCTTTTCCTCTGTTTTAGAAAATGATATTAAGTATGTGCAACAATATAACGACAGATCATTGAACAGGTTACTCAAAACATAAAAATAGCAAGGATGCAAAAATAGAGCACTAATGTTGGGTCAAGATATTAGATGAAAAAGTCAGTCATGAATCAAACCTGCAACTCATATGTTGTCCAATTGGAAGCCCCAAAACTGATGTTGGTGTGGGAAGAGCAAACTTAAACTTAGCCACATTGTGGCTGAGTTGGGTGCGCTTAACAAGTTTGAATTCTTTGAATTCTTCAGGATCCAAGCAGCCTGTCCAGACTTCAGGCATTAATCAATTTGCTAACAGAGAAGATGTTAAAGTTTACCCAATTTGAATTCTTGAAACTCAATATAGAGTGCATGAAGAGATTAAATAAGAATGCAAAACATAAACCATACAGCCACCAGAAAGGAGAAAACATTATATAAAAATGATAAATTACATGAATAAATCAAGAAACTAATTAGAAAAATAGAAGCATCAGAGAGCTGCTTGGAGATAAAAAAGTACTCATTATCAATTAAAAAAAAGGAACGAATGTTACCTATTGTTGGATGTGTAAACTACCTATTTGCAAATACAGCAAAAAGTCATAAAAAGAAGGAATATCCCCAGAGAAACTCTTTTATTGCATTACATTAAAATACCTGGGAACTCAGCAATTTCTAAACTACTAATTGGAAATGATAACAGCTGAGAAAACGTAAAAGGTCACAGTATCTCATTGCACCTATTGAATTAAATATTTGTCTTTCAGTTATTGATCTTAACACATTTTCAACCAGAAGAACAAGGTTCCACTGGTTTATGTTTGTTTACTTCTTGATATTTCCCTACCAAGTCAAAGTAAATAGCAATACATATTCGAATTAAACGAGACCAAGTCAAAGTAAATAGCAATACATATTCGTATTAAAATAAGCAAATGACTAAAAGAAACACCAAAATATATATAACCGTTCCACTAAAACATCTTTTGTAATCGGCGAAAAGATGGCAATTGTAGCACAATCAACACTCCAATAGCACAAGGAATGAAATGATAAAGCAGTAAGATTGGTCTAGAAAAGAACTTCCTCCCAATTAACCTACTAAACAAAACATTCCCATTTCGTTATATATTACAAAAAGGCATCATATTTGGTCTAACATAACTCCCAAATTCTCATTCATCAAAATCATTATTAAAAATAATTTTTAAAAAATAGAAATGATGAAAAGAGTACCTTCGGGTTTCTTTGTAACATATAAATAATAAGCAGTAGCAGCGCCAATGGCAGCGACGGCCACAACTATGCTTACTATTTCCACCCTGTGAGTTTGAAAATGTTCCATTTTTAGGGACCCAAACTTTCGGAACTATGAAAGACAAGATTGTAAAGGGCTTTTGCAGAATCTGTTCTCTGTCTCACCCTTCGGTTTGTTTTGGTCAACCGGAGAACTGTCTCTTAACTGGGGCCGAATATAGAGGATTCCTGCCCGGTTTAAGATTGCAAGTTGATTTGATGGAGGAATGCTGGCGTGTACTTATCTGCAACTTCCCATTTCTTGAGCGGAGAATTTCTATCTACGCAGCCGAGAAGGGATGACTTCTGGAAGTATAATTTTCTTTTGTTGAATCGCTTTCCGGTGTTTGGTCAACTTGAAATTGCTTTCCATTCAAGGAAATATCAAAGCTTATACGTATAAGTTAGGTGTGAAGCCAAGGAGTAAAAGTTTGAACCACCTTAGAATTTAAATAAGCGCTTAAATTATTAAACAAAATTTTATTTTTATTATATTTGATTAATTATTTTATTTTTATTTTAGTATAAATAAATTTTTATAATTAATTATTAATTAATAATAAATTAAATATTATTTATCATTTTATATTCGTATGATATTAATATGACGTTGTTATGTTAATGTGGATAGTGAAAAAAATCACGTGATTATATTATTATGTCAAATTATCATGTTATCTTATCATTAATTATGATATGTTAACATGTTATATTAATAGTATACGACTTTTAATAATAAATAAAATTTTGATTAAATTAATTATTAATTATAAAAATTTATTTGACTTAAAATAAAAATATAAAAATTTAATTGAATGTAATAAAATTATAAATATTTATTTAAAATTTTTTAAATAATTTAAAATTTTTTTTAGATATTATATTATGTTAAAATTGTGAGTTTGGTAAACATGTTAATAGATTTTTATGCAATTGACATGATCTTGGTTATTGTTATTATTATTTTATTGTAAGTTTCAAATAAAGTATACTGAATACCGTAGATTATAAAAGAAAGGAAATATGGAAACCTTTGTTGCAACTTGACGAGGACAATAAATTAGTAGCTATGGTCATCATGCTTTTTTTTAAAAATATAAAAAATAAAAATGTAAAATGTTTGAAAAAAATTTAAAATTACTTATAAAAATTTAAATAAATTATTATTATTTAATTACATTTAGTTAAATTTTTATATTTTTATTTTGAGTCAAATAAGTCTTTATAATTAACGATCGATTAATTATCATTTGTCAAAATACTATACTTATGTAGTTATGATATGATGTTAATGTAAAAAGTAAAACTATTACATGACAATGTCATTTTATCACATCAATATATTATATTATCGTCTATGACATATTCACATAAATATAAAATGATATATAATATTTTACGTAACAATAGTTAATCAGTTATTAATCAGAAAAACTTATTTACCCTAAATTAAAAAGTATAAAAACTAGATTGAACACAATAAAAAATAAAATTTTATTTTAATTTTCTTGAACAGTTTAAATTTTTTTAAAATATTATGTCAAAATAAAATATAAAAAAATAATTTTTTTTCCAAATAAATTCTAAAATAATCACATTTATTCAATTTAGACCTTATACTTCTATGTATTCAATTAAACCTTTTATTACTATAATTTAACATTTATTAAGCTCCTGTTTAGATGAATTACAGTCATAATGTAATTGGTAAGTAATATCCAATGAATTTTCAATGTACCAAAAAAATAAAAATAAAAATAAAAAGTTCGTAATGAAAACCATTGTTATTAAAGCTAATGAACCTTGATAAGACTGAAATAGTATGATGAATACCAAGTTTTGAAATTATAGGTCTACTCGCCGTAGAATAAAGAATTCAATTGCCCGAGGACATCAAGAGAAAAATTGTGCTTGCTTAATTGCATCAGGAAAACAAGTTTAAGGCCTAAAAATATAATAGAAAATTTGATTTTATTCAGCCACGAAATACCAAAACAACAAAATCCTAGTCTGTTGAAGTACTCTCAGTAGCACTATTAGTCTCTAATTTCTCAGCAGATTCCTCTGGTTTGCTTTCAGTGTCGACATTCTCAAGCTTTGAGACACGAAACATTGCCAAATGAAAATCCCCTACAGCCAAAGAGAACCATTTAGGCCTTTCAACATTAGCTTAGCAGTTCAGACTCTATATATTCATTTAGACAGATGTCCATAAAAAGACTTAAGGGTATCCATCTTGTTTGCTTAATTTCAATTCCAAACTGGGTTGGGGTTGGCCAAAGTAATCAGTTTCCTCAGTTTGATAATGGTTTTCACACATTTGAAAGATACCAAACCTTCTTGTAGATAGCTTGAGTGTGAATGTACTGAATGAAATTATTGAAATTCAAGTCAGTATGTTTACCGAATACAAGAAAACTTCCAGGTGGCACAGTGGCAACGACTCCTGGCCTTAATCTCTGGTCATTAATGAACGTTCCATTGGTACTGTCCAAATCTGTGACCAGAAGATTCCCTTCTTTCTTCTGAATCCGGGCATGAATTCCAGATACTGTAAATGTCAGGGACATGCACGATTTGATGTGAGATAGACATCATCTGATTTACAATTGAAACAAGACAAAATTGAATCTATTAACAGTCATGTTATTACAAGTTTTCTTTCAATTTTTTCTTTTGGGTTTAAATCTTTCTTTGAAAGTGCAGAATACCTGTTGCAACAGGAATCACCACATCAGCCTTATCAGGGAGACGCCCAACAGTCACTTCACTCTACAAATTACCCAAAACAATTGATTCATTTTATTATAGTGCAAAGCTTGAAGTATTAAGATTTCAAGGGTATGGCAATAGAACTTTTACTTACGGAAGCAATTTCAAAGGCATCTGGCATCTGAACCTTAAAACCTATGTGCCTTGTATCTCCATCGCCTAGTTCGTGAATACATCGAGATGTTTGTCATTTCTCAATTAAGCAAATGTGTTTTGAAAGAAATGAAAGGAGTACTATGGCATCAGAGTCAGATGCAACATAACCAAAAATTGTAGGTACTAATTAAACAATGAAGAAAGAGAAAAAAATTCTGACCTGCAGGCTCAAGAAGCCATCTATCAGTGACATCTGATGAAGTACTTTCACCCTCAGAAGCATAAATAACCCCAAGATTTCTTTGTTTCCTCGATCTGATTCTATCAAATTTTAGCTTAGTAACATAACCCTTAGAGGACTGAAATGGAACTACAAAATTTGATGCAGCAAGAGTGGCCTTTGAATGAAGGAAGGGTGGTGAAAGCGAGGTTGAGCAGCTTGGGAGCTTTGCCTGGGACAGCGATTGTGCAGTCATCTCCATTTCTGCAAGAAAATTGTCGGAAGCTACCGAGTTCTGTTTATATTCAAGTTCAAGTAGAGCTTTGTTCGATTGGATTGTGTGGATACTAGTAAAAGGGTGTTTTGGGAAACATGTGCTGTAATTACGTGGCAACCATTTAATGCCTTGACAGGGATATGGATAACAAAATCATGAGCAGTGGCTTGTTGTTTGTACAGGGTGTTCAGGATTTGTTGCAAGCTGTTTAATTTGCCATTTCAATACAAAATACAAAAGAAGCCCAATCCACACCAGCAACTTGTTTTTCTTCTTATACGTTTCATTTTATTTGAATTTTTATCAGGTGATTCTTCTTCATTCTCTTCACTAAGTAGACCAATTATATCCAAATCGTGCAATTTATCTTAGAGTATTTAAACTATTCAACGGTTACGCAAACTCAGTTGTTCAGTTACTGCCAAATAGTTGTTAGCAGCACATTAGTGTGTCTAGTTTGTTGCAGTCTAATTCACAAACTTGCTACCAAAAGAGGAAGAAAGGTTTCTGTTGAGACTTCTTGATTGTTGTAGTGTAAGTTTCTGGGTTGTCCACAATCATGGAGACAGAGAAACAGTCAATGATGGAAAAAAAAGAAGCAAAATTCCAGGATAAATTTGAGAAAAATCTGGAAAATGCTTATCATATATTGCAGTTTTAACTGATACACTCCCTTGGTAACTCAGTGAAACGTGCTGTATCTTTGCAGTAGTCATATACCAAATGCTTTCGACGAACCCATTTAAGTTGATGGCTCCTGTGCCTGTTTAACCCACTAAAAGATGGCTTATCCCACCGGAACTGCCCTAATTTGCCACATTTGGCCATGATATCTTCGGTTTCTGGCAACAATTCACAAGCATCAACAATAAAGACCGAAAGGTTGAAACAAAGGGAGCATGGCTCCAATTTGTCTTCACCCTCCCTCCCTGTGTAGCCCAATCATCAGCATTCCACACAGACCCGCGGATGGTCATGGGCTGATTCTTTGGAAACAGCACCCCGTTTTCTTCTTTGTTAGTGAAAACCCTATGGGAATTCCATCGACAAGAAACCTGTGAGATTGCCAAAGAATTGCTCAAAAGAAGGATGAGATCAAGGTGGGATCAAACCAATGCCCTAAAATACCCAGTACTGCATTGGTTAGTCTCCTACTTACACGATAAAGCGGCGATTCCAGAAGAAAGAGTACGCATGGAAATCAACTGTGGGATCAAACCAAAGAGTATGCCTCTGCTCTCGATTGCCAGTGCCATTGACATAAACATTAGTTTGAACAAGGTATGGCTCTCCAGATGCATTGCAAGAAACTCAAAGTCTAGCTCGTCATGACTAGCCCCCTCCGATGCCATCTGCATTTCCCGTTGTTAAATTTCCTAACCATTTTGAGGCCAAATTAATGAGACAAGTCCTAAGCTATTTACCATTTCAATATGTATTATGGTACAGGACATTATTTGAATAGTTGTTTAGATAACCCTTTCTTACTAAGCACTAAAAAGTTAATTAGTTGGTCACTTGGTCCTTGAATGAACAACATAAGACAGTTCATGTTCCCAGGTAACAAGTTGAGCTTGTCCTGAAACATGAAAATAAAAAAATATATATCTAACTTACATAGAAGGCGGTGACAGTTCCAGCCGAGTCTCCATCAATTAGTTTGATTTGCACGCTTGCTTGTCCAAACAAATACCTCTTGTTGGACTCAAATCCGCAACCTACAGCGAATCAGCATGTATTAGTGAATCCAAACCATTGGCCGCATTTGATGATCAGAACAAAAGAGAAAAACACTCATAAGCCAAAGCAGGAAAAGATAGTACCACAGAGAGACAGAGGTCAGAGAAGCTGAGAAAGCTTGGCATTACCAGAAATATTGTCCAGAGTTAATTTGGCCTGATCTCCATCAGAAATTATGTGATCAGGAGCCCAGTTGCAATGGAAGAGTTCACTAAAGTTAGCACACATGGCTAAGTTTGAATTCAAAGCCAAAAACCACATTAGAAATGCAGTTGCAAGCGTAGAAATTGAAAGCATATTTAGCAATGGATTTTGACAACTCGAAATCCAAAAGCTCAATCTAAAAGAGTAAGACGAAGCCATATGTATATATATTTATAGTCCCATAGTTTGTGTAATGGGAGCCATGTGAATCTGAACAATTGAACAAGGATTTTTGTCATGACCAGAAAGTGAATGATAGTGGGGAGGAGTTCATGGCCACATCAGCGGCCACTTTGGAGCGGCGCCACTAACAGGAGTGAGAGAATCCATTATCTGTTAGCTTGGTAAATGGGAGAATAAAATGAGTTGTCATCAACTTTCTTACTGCTAACAAAAATTATAGTGGTGTAAATTTAGTAGTGATGGACAGCCCTCCAAAGACCAAAAGAGCCAAAAATCATGTTCAGTTGTAAAAGTAGTTTAGCCAAGAAAAGAAAAGAAAAGGATATGGAGTGAATTAATTGGTCATTAATTTATGGTGTTATATTATTAACATATTCGTCCATCGAATGACCATCTTGTACTGGCAAGTTTCTAGCATAATCATTGTTAAAAGCAAAAGCGTTTTCCTCTTTATCTGGCGGAGGTGGGGTGGAAAAGAACAAATGTCGAAGCCCGATCAATGGTGAGTTTTGGCATATTGGCCGAGTGTTGAAAATGATAAAGAGCTTGTGCATCACAATTAATGGCTACTACTGTAAATTTGTTCTACTCTGTATTGAAGGCACATCAGGCTAGGCCCTAATTGTTAGAAGAATTGAGAAATAAATAAAAATAAAATAAAGTAAGAAAGAATATTAAGAAGTCTGAGGTGTGGTATCACTATCTTTAAGGATAATTTTCATTCTTTTGGAGTAGAAATTCAGTGCAAAAGGATTGTATTGGTTATCCTCTAAGATTCAATAGACCATTCCTTATAGTTTGCACAAACTAGTAAGAGATGGTAGGAATAATAGAAAAAAAGAACCAAGCTAGGAGAGAATGATGCATAGAAAATAAGCAGAGAATACTTAAGAAAAGATGAGAGGTTTTGGTGTGTTGTGAGTGAGGTAGGGAAGCTGTATTTATAGACAAAGAATGAAGTGAACGTTGCATCAAATCAAGGAGTTGAGAGAAATTTGGTCAGTATGTGTACTTAGTCAAATGTACGTTGTAGCAAAATCAGGAAAGTCATCAGTAAGGTGGAGTATTTGGTCTTACTTGGTTAGATAGACATTGGAGAGTCATCAACGCGTTGAGGGAGTTAAGAAAAACTTGGTCAACATCAGGGAATTGAGAGAAACTTGGTCAGCATGTATGCTTAGTCAAGTGTACGTAATAGCAAAATCAGGAAAGTCATCAGAATGGTAGAGTACTTGGTTATGTAGCAAAATCAAGAGAGTCATCAACATGTATATTTAGTCAAATGTACGCTGTACCAAAATAAGAAAAGTCATTAATAAGGCAAAGTACTTGGTCTTACTTGGTCAGATAGATGTTAGAGAGTCATCAACACATTGAGGGAGTTAAGAAAAACTTGGTCAACATCAAGGAATTGAGAGAAACTTGGTCAACATGTATACTTAGTCAAGTGTATGTAATAGCAAAATCAGGAAAGTCATCAGAATGGTAGAGTACTTGGTTATGTAACAAAATCAAGAGAGTCATCGGTATGGTAGGGTACAAAAAATGCACTTGAGCCTAGCCCACGTGTATACTCGCGCGCATGAGGGGGAATCTAAATTCTCTCAAAACCTAGCCCGATCTCATGTGTGCGAGAGCCCATTTTTTTTTTTTTTTTTGCAACAAGCCTATAGTGTGTTTGATTACTTAAAGCACTCACACTTTTATGTACCTTAGCAATGTTGGATGTTTGAACCTTATGAAATATACTAATTTTCCAACAATCTCCCACATATTTCTTAAGGTTTTATAAGAAGTCTTTATTGGGTCAAATTTCATTTAAGTGTAATGCATTGTGAATAGTGCTTTTTAACCTATGAACCACCTTTAGAAAGAATATAACATAAGTCACAGAATTTTGATAAAGTTTATAACTCATATGAACTAAAATTTTTTATGTGAAATATTGTTTTAATCAATTACATTACACCACAATTTCTGTTGTTCAATGCGATGTTGCACGAATAAGCCATGCACGTACCTAGTTATTCATAAGTGCTATAGAGAATTTGCCCCGATTCTCATAAAAGCGGCCCCAACCCACACTTATATAGTTAATTCCATCAAGTATATACTCCAGTTTAATACACTACCCATAAAGGATATGAAATTCGTTAGGAGTTTAACTTAACCTCTCTTGCATTGCAGTCTTACACTATTCATACACCATAAGAGGAACAATAATTTTAATAGTGTATTAATTTATTAACAAATAACTTGTTATTACTCATATAAACCTAATTCATGGGATCTCCAATCACATAGGTCGGGTTATTATTATTTGTTGATTTCCTCAATTGGCTTAAGTCTCATTCTCCTCGATGTAACATTAATTAGTTTTCCTTCCATCGGTTTAGTTAGAGGATCGACCAAATTCAGATCTGAGCTCATATAATTAATGGATATAATTCCATTTCTAAGCAGCTATTTTATTATATTATATCTCAAACCAATGTGTTTATTTTTACAATTGAAGATTTTATTCTTTGCAATGGCTATTGCCATTTAACAATCACATTGCATAGACATGAAAGGTGTTGATTTCATTCCCAATGGAATATCTACTAAGAAATTTCTCAACCACTCAATCTCATTGCCAGCCAACTCTAAAGCTACAAATTCTGACTTCATTATAAATTTAGCAATTATTGTTTGTTTGGCTAATTTTCAAGTTATAGCACCCCCACCAAGGGTGAATCCATAACCATTTATAAATTTTGTCTCATCTGAATCTGAGAATGCGGGTTTTTTTTAAATGATATGAATCTTTGTTTTCTAATTATACTTAGAGAAAAATGGAAGGAAAATTCATGTTCTTAGTTAGGAATGGGGGTGGAAAAAGATATGAATGCCTAGGCACTATAACTAGCCAAAGTTTGCATTTGCTTGGTGTAGAGGGTTCTTTTAGTAGAAAGAAAGGACGTGTTACAATAAGTGAATTGGAATGCGCTAAAAGCGATAGAAAAAAAGACTAGAGCAATCTTTGAAGCGTAAGTGCTTTGGTAGCAAATGGTGAGGGATAATAAAAAATGGAAGAAACAACAAATTACGACGAATGGGAAGGGTTGAATAGAAAGAATGTTTGGAGGAGTATTGAGAAAGCTTTCAAAAGAATCTTTGTTGGGCTTTTAATAATTTCTTATTGCTTCCCAACCTCCAAGGTCCTCATATTTATACTGGACAAGAGCATTTTCTTAAGAGTAGTTAGAAAAACACATTCAATCATGAAAAAACAAGCTTATCATGAAAGAGTAATTAAAGAACGGTTTATGGGATATTAAAAGAATGACCATGTAGTTTGGTAGTGGGCGTAAGTTTTGGGTCATGGAGTAATAGTACTTGATAAGACGTCACATGTGTTCTTAATGAGTAAGGGAAGAAAAAGGGGTAAAACACATGTACTTCAAGAAAAGGTTAAGAGAAAGTACTTTTAACTATCTCTATATCTGAACCACCAAACCCAACTCTCTAGAACATCTTCAATGTAAAGATAACTCATGAACCTTACCACTTGTTCAGAGTTACATTCACTTCCCCGTGTGAACAGTTGCTCTATGCTTGTTCTTGGGTGTTTGCATTTATGCACTTGGAACGCCTCTAGGGAACACCCCTAAGCTCTTTTGCTCTTAGAACGCCTCTAGGTGCTTCCACACTTAGAACACTTTGGGCACTTCTGCACTTGGAACATCTTAGTACTTTTGCACTTAGAGCACCCCTGGATGCTTCCACACACCTTGGCTTGCTTGAAACGCCCTAAGGCGTTTCCACGCTTGAAATACCTTAGATGCTTTCATGCTTGGAATACCCTGGGCATTTTTGCATTTGGAACGCTGCTACTGATGTAATTTTTCTTGTAAACAATACTTCAAAAATATTAGTTAATCAAAATTGAACATCTACACATGAAAACTTGACAAACAAGAAATTTTACAAGAAAAACATGTAAAGCCTCTTGCTGTGATAGAACTTATTGCCACGTAATCCTCGATATCCCATCCAAACACTCAAATAGGCACTGTTCTTAAACAGAAGAATGGCTAGAAGGAGGAAGTGATTCAAGCAAAGGAGTGAAACCGCTTAAAAGCTAGAAGTTTCTAATTTCTTATTTACTCTCAAGAGGAAGGTAATTGAATTTCTTGCTGACTCTAACGAGTTTGGAAGGATAATTGTCAATGTAACATCATAACATAGTAAAGAGGCCTAGCATGGAAAAGAATAGCCTGTCAAGAAAGCCAGGAAGACTGCCTGCGAGCCAGAATGGCGGGTTTTAAAAGTTTCATTGAAATTTTGAAACCGCTAGGAGGAAGCAGGCAAGTCATTCTTGGCTTTCAAGCAAGACTCTCTTCTTCATGCTAGGCCTCTCTCTTCCTCTCAAATTAATTAGTCATGATCGTCGATTGGCAATTGCCTATTCGCGGTCTTCAAGTGTTTACTTATTTATAGTTTTTTTTGCCCCTAGAATTAAATATTTGAATATTAGAATATTGGATTCAGAACTTCTCTTCTTTATTTTATTTTCTTTCTGCCGCTCTAAGATGAATACATCAATTAATTAGATGCTGAAAAATGGAACATATTCTCACTTCAGCTGGAGGGACCCAAGTTCAAATTAATCTTGCAGCATGGCACATTGGTGCAGCAACTTGCTCCAAAAGTCAAATCCCATTTGTCTGTCCATTAAGGAATTTTCATTCCGCCATTAATGGTATTTTATACTTAACTTCTTAAGTTGAATTATATCATGCTTCTTGCCATATTAAATATTTCCATATATATGTCCCCCAAACCCAATTAAATTTACCAAAAGTTTTATTTTTATGCATAATTTTTTAATTGCATGACGTAAGGTTAGGAGATATTGCAATTAAAAGGTTCAAATCAGAATTCTAGATATATAAGACCTACCATTTCCCATTAGGCTCAAATCTGAAATAAGTAAACAACTCGTTTTCTCTTTGGACCTTATATCTTTAGGTTCAAATTAATCAGAATAAGACCTAACATAACATATTGCTAAAAGAACAATTACAATTATATTATCTTCCACCCACTTTTAGGTATTCTTTATTTGCCCACAGAACTTGTCTGTCCACTAATATATGATTTAACCCGAAAAATCAAAATAAAATTTATTATTATGGTGTAAATTTGGAGCAATTTGATTATCAATTCAATTATTAATTTGAATAAAATCATAAAATCAAAAATCAAAATTTTAAATTTATATATATGTGTGTGTGTGTTGGTATAGGAGAATCAATGTCATGTGAGCATCATCTGATTTTTTGTATATGGGTCTTAAGCTCCTATCCTTTTCTATAATTTTACAGACTTTATATCCTCGTTTTTGAAAAGTTTAAAGTCTGCAGATTTCTAACTTTCTAAAAGGGGGGAGAATAAATTCTACTAATAGTGATTCTTAGAAATTTAGACCCTAGAAATTCTTTAGTGGTCATGATAGTTGTTTGCTTTATAGTTAATGATTCTAATGCAGCATATTTAAATCAAGAGTCAATTTATTTTTGTCACAAGGAAAAGATTTTGTTCCAGTTGACATTTTTTGTTCTCAGAGTCTACCGTGCATTCCATTAATCTTTGCAGGCAAGGCATATTGGGTTTGTCAATAAAGCACATTGATCTTGAGTCTTTTGACATGTCCTGCAATTTCATGCCTATTGGTCAGAAATGTAAGCAAAGTCTTTTTTTTTTTCCAATTTTTTCTTCTTGCTTTGTTGGGGAGGAATGCACCCATTGATTTAGCAAATTTGAACCTTAACCCACTCTCTTTTTATATTGGACTAAAAGCCTGTGGGCAATAGCAGGAAAGCTGTTCAAATGACTTTGTTCAAGGAGGTCAAGCAAGTTTGGTTGGACAATATTTTGGGCCAGTGCTATTTGAAGCCTTGAAGAACTTTCTGCTTTCATAAAAGTTAGATCAGGAGGAAGTTTGTCTGTGCTGTGCACTGAAGACAAATGTGGAATATATATCAACATGGGCTGTTTCAGAGGTGCAAATTTAAGAAATGAGAGAATAAAACAGTTGGCAGATTGATGGTATAGTGGGGAAGTTAGTTTTGCGCATATAAACAATCTTAATTCATCAATATTCTTTTCACGTGTCATTACAACTAGAATATATATGGTCTTTATTCTTTCAAGGACACTATAAATACAGACTTCAGAGCGCATTATTGGCATATTAGATTTCTTTTACACATGAAACTGAGAAGAAGAGAGGCATTACATGAAGATAAAGAGTCTTTGTTTGGTAGCCAAGGATGATTTGCCTACGGCTTTTCAGGTGGTTAATATTGATGCTATGATTATGAATGTAAAACCCCTCGCTCTGGTCTGCAGGCAGTCACCTTGGCTAAGCTAACAGGCTCTTTTCTCTTATGTTAGGCCTTCTTTTCTTCCTGTGTAGAAGCTTAATGCTGATTTTATATATGCAATTATAAGAGTACTATTTATCACTGACTTGCTACTCAAAAAAAAAGAAAAAAACATATATCACTGACTTAAATTGTGCAATTCTTTTCTATATATATCTGCTTCCAGGACAGGCTATATATATATATATATATATGGCATAGCAGAAGCTACACATCACACCCTGAATTGAAGCACCAAGTTCCCCATGCCAAGGTAAGACATGATCGCATTTCGGATGCCAGAATTTAGCTTGGTTTAATTATATAACTTAAAAAATGCACAATAAATTTATACATATATAGGTGGATATGCACTATATATTGACAATAGACGCTGCATTCAACAGTGGAAATTAAGTGGAAACACAATCACAATCGAGAAGCAGTGGATGATTCAAATCTGAAATCTGAAGGCCTCCCTCTTTCTCCACCTATAAATTGACAAGAAATTCCTGCCACTGCAATTCCAGTATAAATCCTCGTGAGAGTGTAAGTGTTTTCTTATTTCCCTTTCTTTTTTCCGAAAGTGGAAATAAATTTAAAAGAAAAAAAGGAGAAAAATGTTGACAGTGGAATAATCTTAATCCTGCAAGGTATTGGTGACACTGTTCTAAGATATAACAATAAATTTCTAATCAAAACTTCGAAATGAAGGCGCTAGGGAAAAATTAGTTAGTGTGCATTTCTTTGATACATAGCTTCATGGAGAAATTGTGTAGCAATTTTGATTTGGAGCTTGTTGAGTCAAATAAGCAGGAATATGGCAATTCGGAAATTATAATTCTTTTGTCTCTTGGATCACGCTTCAATGGGAGGATTTAGAAAACCAGCTTTTTCCCATCGGGTTTCATGTTCTAGAATACTACAACCAATTCATCAAGTAAAGAGAAACACACGATTGAGGCAGCATGCTGCTCAGCTTGGAGCCAGAGTAGAGGAGTTAGGGTTCCATAAATGAGAACGTGTTGCTGTTTTATGAAAGCCAATAGGAAAGAAGGCATCGAATCTGTCCAAAAGTTAGGAAGGAAAGTTGAGCTTGTCGTGGAATTGATTGAATTAACGAGTCTAAACAAATTGGAATCAGAGATAATATTTATCAACTAATTTCCATTACCAATCTTGCTAAGGTGCGGTTGGAAGAGATTGACTCCATAAAAAGCGCCACCGAAGAGCATCTGGAACAACTTAACTTGATGGAGAAATCAGCTAAAGATCGCTTTAGAGACGCTAAACTGAAAGAGCAGTTTCAATCGGATGAGAAGGATCTTGAACAACAACGTCAAGAGCTCAAAGCTGTTGGAAGAACTGAGGAAAACAAATATGAAGAGCGATTCACAAAGAATTCCAATGAAAAGAGCAGAAACTTAATGAATTCGCCTATCATGATCTGTACTCTAATGTAAAAACAGTGGCAATAGAAAATCTTCAGGCTGCAGCCAATCTTGAACCTGTTGTTCCATTAATATTCCAGCCTGTTTGGGTTCGCAGCCTCCTACCCAACATCAACAACCAGGTTCCTAAACCAATATTGGAGGGCTACGGTTCCCTCTTTACTCAATGCATCCTCGTCCCGAACAGCAACCTGGTTACCATTTCCTGGAGTTGACATGAACATAAATCCACACTTTTGTATCTGGTAATTAATAACATCCTAAAATTATCCAAGGCATCCCCTTAGTTGCACTTGGCCACTGCCTTTCGGTGGCTTTGGTTACCAAATTATTGATTTATTGTTCATGATTCTTGAATAATATTTTGACTTTACTACAAAGGAGAGAATATATCCTAATGAACATTCACTTGAATGTAGACTAAAATCCAAAGACTCATGCCAATTACCTCACTAATTTTGTTTCAAATATTTAGACTCTCTTAAATGTCATGTAATTATTGGATAATTTTAAAAGAGAGATTTATCAGGTCAACTAATTCATAAATGAGATATTCCAATCAAATCAATAAATTATTATCACATCAAGTCAGATAAAAATACTGAGACCAATAATATTTTTCAAATAAAAATGTATAGGTTCATTTGATTTGATTTTATTATGCTAATTAATAAACTATCTAACTATTATACCTTTTATAGATACCCTTATCCTAATAGTCAATGAGTTCTTTTCTTTAATACGTGTGACCTTGAACCACACAATGAGCGGTAATCGTTTCGCAACTCATAATTTCCCTTCTTAATATTCGAATTTAAGACTTCTAAATTAGAATTTCAGGTCCTTAACCACTTGGATATTTCCCGTCAGAGACATGAACTATCAATGAGTTCCTTTACCTGAAGATTTTGTTCTGTTTGACTCCATGCGTTTGTAATCAACAACTCCCTCATGAGCTTTTCTTCTTTCAGGAATCCTTTACTCAAGATTGGAGAGAATATGTTCCATTATGGGCAGTCAAATGATGCATACAAGGAAGGAGAGGAAATGGGCTCCAATTAGTAAAGATAATTAAGCATATAACAAGAGGCCGTGAATATGAAATCAAATTCCATTCCATCTAAAAGTTTTAAAACAACTATTTGATGTACTATATACTCCATTGCCTGAAAGTATAAATACAGATATCAGGTCCATTTTGAGCATGAAATGAAGGGCAATCGATCTGGGATAGAGGTCTTATATGAAGATAAGAGTGTTGTTTGGTAGCCAAGGATGACTTGCCTGCAACTTCCATTTCCAAGAGGTTTTCCAGAGGCAAGGAAACTGACTTTGAGCCTCTCTTTGTTAGTTCCCAAGCAGTCTCCTTGGCTAATCTAACAGCCTCTTTTCTTTCATGTTAGGCTTTCTCTTCTTCTATATGTATTTGCCCCCCAAAAAACTCTGTGCTCTTTCTCGATGTATAAGTCTGTTCAGCTATCAGATTTTGCCATGGATGAAATTTTGTTAGCAATTAGCATTCAAGTTTTATTTTTAATTTATTTTATCCTATTTTCATAATCATTAATTCAGATTTCATTTGGTTTGTTACTTTCGATATTTGATTTTTTTTTCTTTTACTTTTTTACATTTACCTTTAAATTTCTTTAAAGTAAAATATTAAAAATATTAAAAACAACTAATGTAAAAACATTTATTGACTCAAAAAATTTTTAAAAATCTTTAAAAATATACAAAATAAGTAATATTTGATTAAAAATTTGTGACACAAATAAAATGTAACTCGCATTTGAACATAATTGTTTTATATAAACAATTCTAAAAAATACATAAAAGACTTGGGAAGACAAAAAAAAATGAAGAAATAAGCTAATAATTGTAAAATTTATACATCTTAGTATTTGGTTTATTAATTGGTGTATGATCTCTTTATGTAAAGAGTAAAGTTTAAATCCCTCTTCTCTTAATTATAAAAAAAAAATTACACAATTTATTTTCAATACATTTCTACTGACTTCTGCCAATATCCACAAATCTTTTTTCCCCCAATAAGCCGGGGCTGATTCTGGGAAGTTCATCATATGTACAAAGAGATTAACTTTAATGTAGGATTGGGTTGCTTCAGAAGTTAAGGATTTATCTTTTGGTTTGATTGTTTATGACAAGGCTCCCCTGAGATTTTTACTACACATTTGCTGCAACAGTATTTACTAGATGTTGCTTCACCTTTGTTGTGTATAGTGGGCTCAAATCTTTCAAAGATGAAGCCACAGTTGTGTCTGTGGAGGAAAATTTTGTTTTACCAGAACAACTTGTAGCCAAGACAACAACTTTCCTAGAAGAATATTGCTTAAGGTTATAGCCTAACAGTAATTAACTAATCATAACATATGCAAAAAGGAAAATGAGATGTTAAGCTAAAATTATTCCCTTACCTCCAACTATTTTGAGTATATGGTAAAAACAGCATAAAAATAGCCACATGCAAGGAGGATAAAAAAGGAAATTTTGATTAAATCAATGATCATGTTGCTTAATTAATGAATAAATCACAATTTTAATTCTCCACTAATATATATACTTAAAAGTATACAACATGATATAGAAGCAAAAGAGTCACAAATAAAATCTTAAGTTCGAGTCAGAGTACTTTCTCTTGTACCCAAAAAAGAGAGACAAATCCTCAAAGTTCTAAATGATGTTAATGTCATAATTCTATATTTTTAACTCAAAAGATATATTTATTAATTGAAGAAAAACCTTTATTTATAAGTTTAAAATCCATCTTATCTCTTACTTATGTAAGTCTATAACATTAACTCAAGATTCATATGTACGAAAATGTATCAATTGGTTCACTTTTAAAGTAGTAATGCAAATAAATTCCAGCAATTTCATAATTTTAGTAGCAAACAACATTGGGAATTTGGGATTGTCATGAACACAAATTGCTTGCCGTTTTACTAGGGTCTAGTGGAAATATACTATCCCTCAACTCAAGTTCGGTTTAATAATTTTATCTTTCTATTTTCGAAAAACAAAGTAATTTTATCTTTCTTCTCTCTCTTTTCTTTTTCTTTATGACATTTCAAAGAAGATCAAAGTGGAGACATTTGAACCGTAGACCTTTCCTTTCAATGGAAGGTCAATTTCCAAGCATGTGCATTTTCACAGTTATTCATATCCTTTTGAAAGTGCTAAAGGTCACTCACATTGACATTCCTCTTGAAGCAATGATATATTCTTTCTATCATAAGCTTCAAAACCAAAACCAGATACATGGAACAGAATCTATTCTTGGATGATGAAAAGTGGTGGCAACCTTGGACTTATCTCAAATTATATTTTCATAGGGCCTATAAATAGAGGACTTCAAAACAAAGGTTATTGCATCCCTCTAGAGCTTGAATTTTAAAGGAAGAGAGCTCTAATATGAGGATCAGAGCCTTGTCTCATAGCCAAGAATGACTTGCCTACTCGTTCTGGTGAAGTGGGTATTCTGATATAAGATTACCTTTAAAGGTCTTTGTCAGCTCCCATGCAGGCAAGCCAGTCTTGGCTAACTTGACAGGCTCTTTTCTCCATGCTAGGCCTTCTCTTCTTTTGTATATGAGCCATCTGCAGCATTCACCTTGTGTCAGATAAATGTAGAAGAATGCAACATAACATTCTTCAAATTTGTAAGATACATATTAGGAGAATCCATTCATTTCTTTCTCGTGGTAAAATTTTTGTTTAGTCTGGACCAAACTATGGACCCCTGGACCATGAAGCTGTGCCTTTCTTCATCAGCAAGGATCGTGCCAATTTCTTTGAATCAACCATCCCCTGCATATCAATTCAGAGGACAAATTCTGGCAATGGCTGGGACTTCACAATTCTGGATCTCTTCCTTTTCTTAACCTTTGCACCTTCAGCTGGAAATCTATAAGTGTCTAAAACTACGCCATACTCAAGGGCCACTTAGCTTGAGCCCATGTGGCAACTCTGAGTTTAACTAAATCAAAAACCTGGTCAGCACACCAAATAATCCTCTAAAGACTGTATCATTCTATACAGCCACACTGACACAAATAGCATAAAAGCCATGCACCAGATTTTAATCTCCCCTTTCCCTGCGAAACCAGCATTCCAAGTATTAAACGAGTTGATTTAAATCCTTTGGGACAACCCAAGTAACCTCCCATTCTCTACACCATCTTCATCCCACTTGCCAGACCTCAGGACAATGGAGTAACAGGTGTCTAACTGTCTCAGGTTCCCTCTTACAAAGCCCACACTCAGCTCCCTCCTGGTCAATTAAGTTCCTTTTCACTAGCTCCTGCTTGACGGCAACTCTCTCATGCCAGCACCTGCCCAACAAAATATCTCAATATGGTGAGAACCAGATTTTTCCAAATATTTCTCCAAGTCTTATCCTCCCCACAATCCTGCAGGAGAACTTGTTTACAAAAAGATTTAACACTGTAATTCCCTTGTGGCCGATCCTTTCCATGCCACGGTGTCTTTTAGTTCCCTACAAAGGTGGCACTCCTCAATAGTGGCTTTGAGCTCCAGCCACTGATGTTCTTCCCATCCTAAAGGCCTCCTTCTTAGTTCCACTTCCCATGACCATCTATCATCTTCCCAAATACCGAACTCTCCAACAAACCTTCTTTATTTTTAGCAAGGGCAAACATCCTCGGGTATAGATTTTTCAGCACACCTTTCTCTACCACATGTCAGTCCAAAGCGTATGTTGCATCCATCCCCAATCACCATCTGTAAGTTGGGGTTAACCTGCATAAAATAATGTTAGAAATGGATAGGGGTTTTGATGATGTTAGTCCACAATCTAGAAGTTCTCCTATTAGTGTTTGGCTTAGGCAATAGATTCTTAGAATTCCCTCTTACTTTCTCCACAATCACCTCTCTCCACAGCCTCTCTCTCTCGGTTCCGAACCTCCAGATCCACTTGTTAAGTAAAACTCTATTCTTTTAACTCGAGACTGTAATACCTAATCCCCATTTTCCTTGAAGTTACTCACCTTTTTCCACCCCACTAGGTGCATCTTGCGCTTCTCTCCCGTTCCTTCCCACAGAAATCTCCTCTCGATTTTTTCTAACTCTTTCACCACCCCTTTAGGTATTTGAAATAAGGACATGAAGTAATAATTGCAGTGCTTATGCCATTTCTTGCTAAACGATTAGTTGATTCTTTTCTTTTCCCTATTTAAGCTTGCAAAATGTGTTGAAGTTCGCCTTCTAGGGATCATTATCATGGTTTTCATTCACAGGTAAGTTACATATTGGTTTTTCAGAAAGCAATTTGTCAAGAGTCAATTGGAAAGCAGAGTTTTTGCCTGTTTAAGGAATAGAAAGCTTTAAAAATTCCCTCTTCTCAAGCACCAATTTTTTTGTTTAGAGCAAAGCACACCGATTTTTCTGTTTAGAGCAAACATGAAACATGGTTAACCCTATACTTATTTTGGAGTTGTGTACCTTAAGCTTCAGTTGACCAAATAATCTAAAATGTCTATAATATGTTGCTGCTGATAAGTCCTTTCTCTTAATTTCTATCATGTGTTCCATGCTTTTGCAGTATCTTCCTCGTTATATAGAATCAAAGCAGCCCATCTGTGACAGATTTGCAGTCCTGATTTCAGTTGCAATTACATGGTTATTTGCTCAACTTCTAAATTCAACTACTGTGTACAAACACAAACTGAGAACAATCAGATTGGCTGTCGCACTGATCCTGCTGGATTCATTAGCAGAGCTCCTTGGTGAGACTATGAGAACTGGTACAAATTTTAACATGTCAATGATTTAAGATACTCATATGTAATATATTTATCTTTTTTTTTCCTATAAATGGTGCATTATTTTACAACATAAGGTCTTATTCCCATATTTTTTTTCCTTCACTGCAGGATATATATTCCTTATCCCTTTCAATGGGGAAGCCCCAACTTTAATGCTGGAGAAGCCTTTGTAATCATGGCTCCTGCTTTTGTATCTCTTTCTGAGGTTT